TTCACAATGAAAGAGATATATTAACGTCTTCGTATTTTACAAAAAACCAACACATACAGATAAAAAAGAGCTGATAGAGAGGATGTCAGAGGCTCTTAAGTGGAAAACTTGAAAAGAAAAAAATCATGATGTCAAGCTGAAATTATTTTCAATTTGCGATGTATGTTACAAGACTTCACTAACTCTTCAAATAGTAAAAAAAAAAAGCATAATTAAGGGATATTGATAGGATCCGCTAGAGGAGTGGTGAAGCTCTGAGAACTATGAAGGAAAAATGACAGTAGAGACAATGTGCTAGAAATTTTGATGTGAACGTCGTCGGGCCCAAAGAAAGTGGTATGGTGGTGATGGTCGGATAGCCGTGGTCTGATGAAGGTGGTGGCCAAGCAACGATAGTCCAGCGATAACGGCAGCCCAATGGTGTCGGTACGATGGTGGTGGCCAGGCAGTGGTATGGTGACGGTGATGACAGATCAATGATGGTACGAAGATGGTAGCGACCCATCGGTGGTGGTCCAGTAGTGACGACGGTGGTGGTCGGGCATCAACGATGGTGATTCGACGATTATGGAGCTCGAGGAACCCTCAAGTGCTTTGAGTTACTTCACTTATCCCCCCCCCCCCACTTTTGGAAGTGACATCATCTGTAAATATCGATAGAATATGAGCCACTCCATCTGACGACCCAAAATATTTCCTTTGATATGATGATGTTTTAGGAGTATTTGAGTGACTTAATGATGTTAGAATTAAGTGATCATGTCTATATGTTTGATTTTGACCATAATTTTATCAAATTTGAAGATCATTTGGTCTCCCAAAATATATCTTAAAGATTTTTATTTTGCTTTAAGTGCATAATCTGGGCTCACTTTGACTCATGTCAAGCTATGTTTGATGTCATGTGAATAATCTTATCTAATACTTCATTTTGGTTTGGAGTATATGTAGTTGAGTATTTGGAACTCTTGGTCTAAATGTGTATCGAGCTTCATGTATGATTAAGATAATTTTTTATTCACGTATCAATTATTATTGATATGTTTCTTGGAAATCTTCATCATTCGACATGAATCTCGAGGCATTAACATGAATCTTGAGACAATTTTTTGAACAAAAAACATTCACTTCAATTAAGAGTGATCCAGAACTTCGATTTTAGCAAATTTGTGTTCAAACTGACCGACTTGATGAATCATACCTAATGATATCAAATTTAGTCCAATCAAAGCCAAATCAAGCACATATCAAGTCATTAAACTACTATTGGAAGATTTTCAGACACATTTGAAAGGTCAAACGGATGTCGAATTTGGCGAGTTTATAATCAGATTGAGCGTCTTGATTAGACGAATCCAATAAACCCAAAATTACTCAATTCTGACATCTTTAAGACACCTAAATGTCCATTAAACGTCATTTAATTGAAGAAATCTCTTCGGATCGTCTGATTTCAATTGTCATATTATTGCATTAATTGCACCCAGAACACTATAAATAAAGACCCACCCCTCTCATAAGGGGAGAACTTGAGCCTTGAAAGAGAACTTGAGCCTTGAAAAAGGAGCTGAAGTCTAGTACCTTCTCACCGTCTTCGATCGCCGCTGGCAGCCGTCGACGCCTGTCGGCCTCCGTCGACCAATTTTGATCACTTTTGATCACCGTCAACAACCACCAACCACCGTCAAGCACTATTGTCGTCGTTAAACACTATCGAACATCGTTGACTACTACCAACCAGACGTCGTCTGTTAAAATTGTAACTTAGAAAATCTAGCAACCCTCTTTCATCAGTGGGATAAGGGGTTTCTGTAATCATTAACTTATAGTGAATTTTTACAACTGACCTAAATCTCGTGATTTTTCTCTTTACAGGAGTTTCCATGTTAAAACTTCTGGTGTTACTCGCTTTTTTCTTTCATCCGAGTATGTGTTGAATTCTTGTGCAACACTAAGACGATAATTCATTACTCTACAACCACAAATTTTCTAGAACACATCAATTATAATTGATTGTTTGACATGTGCACAAGAACATTATAACTAATAAACCAACAAAAAATCTAAAAATTCAAAAAAAAAAAATAATCACTTTTGTTAGTTAAGAAAACATGCTATAAAGATTTATTGCAGGCCAATCATAATGGTAAAGTTGTCAAAATAGTTAAATGGTCGGTAGGCCCCTCCATCTGGAAAAAAAATTTTGTCCGGACTCTAGACGTAACTTTACATGTGAATTCTAGTAATATATTGTCACGTGCTACATTGCAGATGTTATTGGGGGTTATTAAAGTGAAACTGTGGAGGTTATTAGGGGGCTATTGAGTGGTTATTAGAAGGTTATTGCAAGGGTTAATGCAGAGGGTTATTGAAGTGAAACCACAAAGTTTGTTGGTGGGTTAATGGGGGTTATCACGAGGGTTATTGCTGAGAGTTTTGATGTGGAACTGCAGATGTTATTGTGGGTTTATTTGAGAGTTATTGAGAGGTTATTGAATGAGGTTATCATGGAATTACGGAGCTTATTGGGGGTTTATTGAAGGGTTATTACGACGTTATTAGAATTAATACCCCAATAACCCTAAAAAACCCTTCAATAACCTCCCAATAACCCTCCAAATAACATCCGCAGTTTCACTCCAATAACATACTCAGTTCAACTCCAATCTTTTTTTAGGTGCGCCTGATATAGCACACATGGCGGTATATTACTGGAGTCCGCACATAGAATTACGTCCGGAGTTCGGACAGAAAATTTTTACCCACAATAAAGTCTTGTGTCTGTATATATCTACCGGAGTTGTTTTTGATTAAAATTTTGACAGGACTATTCAAAAACGGATGGATTGGAATACATGTGCCCACAATGTAGTCTAACAAATTACAGCGGCAAGAGGAAGCCTCTAAAGAAGGCTAATGGATATTCTAGCACAACTGTGCCCTGACAACTGTAATATTTATTTTTTTCTTTTGGTCCTTTATTTATTTATTTATTTATTTTATGAGAGCCCCAATTTCGGGAGGGCTGATTTTATAAGTTGCTTTTGATGTCTAATTAGGCCAGATTTTTAGCCAAATTCTTATATTTGTTTGCTAGCATTAGTAAAAGATGGAAATGAGTTGTGTTTTTTAGGCCGCTCTTGATTTCAGATCGCTACCAAAGTCTTGGGCTTTTGCTTGTAGTTTTTCCTCCTGAGAATTAATAGCAAAGATTGCTGGGCTGGCCTAGATTGATAAACAAAATGTGGAGAATAAATTGTACTCTATAATGAGACACTCTAAGAAGATAGAGGCGTCGACGGGATCGACGTCTACGGGATCGGCAGTTCGCGAATCTTGGGCTTCTTCTACGCGACACCGGAAAGAGGCAAATTCTCTACGCGACACCGGAAAGAGGCAAATTCGAATTGTGGCAGACGGGAGACGTTTGATGATTTGCGAATCGCATGCGAAGGAAGTCTCACGATAGCAGCTAGTCGCGACATCGAGATAGTCATCCGTCAGGTTTCTGCGGAGTCGGCAGTTCGACAGTTCGTCTCTTGGTTCGCGGGCAGGCAGCGACAAATTGAGTTCAAAATCTGCGGAAGAAACAGTTTCGGAGGCAGTTTTGAAGTCGCGAAGGGCGAAGGGCAAAGAGGCGCGAGGTCAAGTTTCGTGAACCGTCATTCAGTTTCAGGAAACAGAGGAGTTCGACCGGTTCAACATCCGTGGGAAACAGAGGTTGTCCACCGTGAATAGGAGCCTTGTTTTGCGGAAAATCTGAGGAATTCGACCAGTTAAATTTGTCGGTTCGTCGCAGGAGATTTTGCGACAGGTGGAGTTCGGCAGGGTGCAGGAGGCGAGAAAATTATCCCCCCCCGCCACCTCCAGATTCACCATTAAAGCCTCCAATATCCTTATCTCCGCCACCATTATCACCCAAAGGCTTCAGTCCTCCCCCACCACCTACCTCACCTGCCCCCCTACCGTTCAGGCAAACACCCCCTTCACCCTCCAAAGGCACTACTACTCCATCTCCTA